CATTATTGGTGCCATTGGAAGCTGGGTGTATGTGCCGGAACTCAAAGGGAAGACGTTTGGTGAGATTGATCAGCTCTTTGCTGAGAGGGTGCCGCCCCGGAAGATGGGCAAGGCTTGAAGTACATGATGGAGGTTTGCTGACAATCGAGCCTGTGGCCATCATGAGCTGTTGCATGACCACAAGACAGGCCAATACAGTTATTTGATTTCTATACCATCAATCTCGTCACGGACTTTGTTTGCTCAGATACCAACCAGGAAATGACACGGTAACATTTCATTGTCAACTTGAGTAAGACGACTGGCATCCCATCTCATTTGCATACGTTGTAGAATACAAAACACACTATTAAAAACAGATGTACGATGAACTGCTTTTGACTTTATTGCCTCATCACAGTGTTATGCAAATTCCTAAGCTCCATCATTTCCAAACTACTAAAGCCCTAGAACCTGTCACGCCGCCAACAGCACCAGCCAGCTTCGGACACTCAAGACACCTGATACCTTGCCGTAGCCAGCCCCCATACCTCCCCCGCCGTCATCATGTACTCAAGACACTTGACATACGTTTCCAAATCGGGCGACTCGCCTCCTCTCAAGACGTCCCTCGCCAGCTCCCTATGCCTCCTCTCCCACTCTCGACACATTTGCCACAACAGCCGTTTCGTCGCCTCCGGGGACAAACAAAGCTCAGCAGCCAAAACCGACACACTGTTAATCAGCGTGCCGCCCTCCTCGTGCCCAGCCTTGGACTCCATCACCTCCCTCTCATACCCGACCAGGTCGTTCATGCCAAGGAAGTGTCTTGCAAAGTTTGCATTCACGTCCCGGACCGCCTCGCGCTCGCCTAGCTTCGGCTCTAGACCCATGCTAAACGGGATGAGGGCAAATAATATCCTGCGGCACTCGTCAGCCCGCCCAGAGCAGCCTGGTAGCATACACACACGGGAAGACTCACAACGTGCCCACATCGACGGACCGGTACTCGACAAACTGCGAGAATCCCATGTCTTTGCCGCGGCGGGTACTGGTTTGGACCATCATGGACTTTTCAACGGCGTCCGCTACGTGGCTTGCTCGCTCGGCGTCCAGAGCTCTCATGTCGCGGAAGACGTTGTACGAGATCCACTCCATGGGGACGGCCCTGTTGGGAAGACGCTGCCCACGGCAGAGATGGGCTATGTGTTCTGCCAAGGCTCGCCCCTGGCTGAATGACAAGTCGCCGAATGCATCTACTATGATTAGTTATGAGTGGCGGCAGGGGATTCGTGTGAGGGCCATGGTACCGTCGATTAGGAACTGAATGGTGAGCAGTACGCAAATCAGGTAGATGCGGTCGTTGTTGGCCATTGGGAACGCCAGGCAGGCGCCCCGAGCATATTGCCCGGCCACAAATGCCCGGCGGCGCGCCTCATCTGGAAAGGGCCAGTTTGTTAGGAAGAAGTCGTTGACTCGTTCCGTCATTTCCTCTACAAGAGGATGACAAGCTGTTGAGAGTATCGAGGGCGGGCATTGGAAGTCGTTTCCGTCTGTCCGTTTTTCAAACAACTTTGGCTCTGGTTGATGGGAGAGTGGTCCAAACATTGTGGAAATGGCTTCGAGATGAGGAATCGTGAGCTGGATGTGGTGTTATATAGCCAAGATCATGGGTACTATATTCGGTTCTCAGTTTGCAGACTCACGTCACGAATATATATATACATCTATATGTGTGTTTGTGTATTCCCGTCGTTCCCGTCTCCTTGGGCTGGTGGGTACATGCCGCCTGTCAGATACTCTTCTTTTTTTCCCAAGTCCGGAGTACTCCGTACTCCTGTGCATTTTGTTCCGAGACAGGTTGCACAACATGCGCAGGGAAGCCATGTGATGATGTTCCAGACCGTCCGACGCGGGTTGCATCCGTCGCCAAGAGTGAACCGCGCACCGCCAGCCACCATGTAGTACATAAGCCGGTCTACACCGGCCATGGAGGGTTTTTAAGCAGATTCTTTTTGAGAAGACGAAGCCAGCTGAAAAGAATATCCGCACTCGCTGACCGAAGAGCGCCTCTTTGCCGTTGGGGTGGTCAGAAACAGACACTAGTACAAAGCATGCCATGAATCGTGGCATCAGCCGTTGCCTTGCTCTCAATGCCCTGGAGGTCTCGGGCTCGGGAAAGAAGAAACAAGGCGCATCTCAGCTTGGCCAGAGCCGCGGCTCAAAGACACAGGACATTATATGACTGTCGTATGCTTTTCAGCTCATACGGATAGGAACTTCCATTTTAACGAGCAATGGTCGAGTTTTAGGAGAAGTCAATTCGATTTGTCTGTCAGAGACCAATCATGAGGAACTAACGCACGGGCCATCAGAGACCCACCGGGAGTATCCGGCGAGGCCTTACGGAGCACGGCGTAGCTGTCTGGTGCCCTAACTATGCCCTAGCCACGAGGTAGCTACTAGATATAAAAAGGGACATTGAACTCTTAACCCGTGAGGATTAAGAGAGATTAATCCAGCCACTCTATTACACCTAACTTGCTCGTAGTGAGGATTCCTGCCACATCTCCCGAGTCGCTCTGCCATCAACACCCACCTGACATTGTCATGCCAGATACAAGGCAACTACATTTCCTTTTTTCGCTATATTGAATTACGTAACATGAGGTTAGGGCACCATATTAGTGTGAATGTCTAAACCATCACACCCCGTATCCCGACATCCCCGCGGCTGTTACCGAGACATCAGTGGAACACGGCTGGCGTGTCTCTGTCATCTTGGCCAATCACACCTCGCATCATGAATAACCTCGGTTGGCAAACGAATCTGACATTCTCGTGAAAAGCGTTTGCCTCATGACGATTGGTATTTCTCAGGGACATCTGTCGCTGTTCTCGACGCGCAGCACATCAAGTATAAACTCCCAGCCCAGGAATGTGGGGCGCCAGCTTGTCAAGCACCAGATCGATTGGCACATGGCCTTTACATGTATCCGGAACCTCCGCTCGCGCACTTTCATACCCCGACATGGCTCAACTGCAACCTCGAGTCCGACACGCAGTATCCCGAAGCCAGCGCCGGCCACAGTGAAAGCGCAACAGGATAGACAGCATCTTGCCCGCAGCCCGCCATCGACCCGCGACCTCGGGACAAGGCCATGACTGCTCGTGCGGCGTCAACAACGATACGCCATACCTCTGCGGCACTGCGACGCCCCCAAAGTTGGTCAATACACCCCATGTGCCGCTCGCTCGGTCATCTGTCTGACGCTGGTGATAGCCTGTCGCGCGGCCGCTCATCAATTGGCCCTAGCCACCTCTCTCAACGCATGCTTCACGCCTCTCGTGGGTGCTTCCTCGTTCCGCAGCAGGCCATTCACATCCAGCGCCAAACATCGACAGCCAAACCCGTTTGACATCGGATCCCAGGTCAAAATGGCCCACACGATCAGATCGCTCATAACGCCTGCTCTTTTCCGCGAAATTCAAGAGTTTTGGTTCCTCAATTCCACCCCCGAGGCATGCGTCATATCGCCGCAGGAGAATGTTCAACGGTGGTTCATGGGCGGCGAAACCCTCGACAGGGAATGCGTGTACGCTGTCTACACCTTGCCCATAAAAAAACTTTTTTCTTTCTTTTTCTAACTGTAAAACCACAGCGAGAAATTCTTACCAACCCTGGAAGCACTCCGGAAAACTGGCGTCACATCCGGCACCGAGATTCTCGACGCCGTTGAGCCGACGGAACCATGCGACTGGATGAGCCTCCTCATTCTGCTGGACCAAATCCCACGGAACTGTTACCGCGGGGCCTCGTCCTCTGTCGTCTTTGATGAGTTCGATCCCCTCGCGCGGGATGTTGCGCGCGCAGCCATTGAGCAGGGGCTCCCGGACCGGAATCCAGAGATGCGGTGGCAATTCGCGTTCCGTAGCTGGTTCTACATGCCGCTCATGCACTCGGAAGACTTGATTGACCATGAGCAGGCGCTGGACGGGTTCCGACGCGCCGTGACGGATGTTGAGTCGTTGGCGGGCGAGCACGAGGCGTCACCGGGGAATGAGCACCATGCACGGGCGCTGGAGGTCGTCAGAGGGGATGTTGAAGCGGCAATCAAGATGGCCAAGACGAATTTGGATTTTGAGCAGATGCATTATGATATCATCAAGAAGTTTGGACGGTATCCGCACCGGAACAAGGCGTTGGGCAGGGAGGCGACGGCGGAGGAGAAGGATTATTTGGAAAATGGGGGCCATACGTTTGGTTAGCTTGTACAGGAGTAGGCGCGAGGCGTAAGAAACGAAGCCGTTGAATATGCGGCCTCAGTCCCGGCCGTGGACAAAATATGCAAGAGTTGGGAACGACGGGGGGAAGTGGTATTGTAGCCGCAAAATCAACATGTACATGAACCAACGCGACAAGCGCAAGCCCATCTTGTGTCAGATTGCCCCGTACGGAGAATGGGACTACCAGACCCGCGCGCGACATGGTCGATCCTTCAATCGGAGCATCAATACGGAGTAGAAAAGGATCATGGAGATTCCAGATGCGCATTGCATGCAGATGTCGGGTTCCACTGCTGGCCCGGCCCCCGCCTCCATCTGGCCCACCGGCCCATCTGACCCATCCGATTGACCCCATTCGATCCAGCCCCTCCGCTTCATCCATCCTCGAAGCTCGAGTTCAGCTCCGTCTCCATACGATTGCATTCAACCACCAACAAACCGCCTCCCATCCCGCCCATCCATCAGCGCACGCCACCTCCATCTCTCCCCAGTTTCGGAACCGTCCTCGATTCGAGCATTGTGCTTATTCGGGCTGCATTGGCGCCCCGGCCTCCGTAAACAAACCCACGCTGTCCCCTCCTCTCCAACCTCCAACTCGGCCTCGCGCACATCAACACACAAAAACACACCCGCGCTCCGCATGCTCCCCGTCGCCCTGCCATCCCGACCTACACACCCAGCCGTCGCCTCCCCCGTCGCGACACGCACCTAAGTCTCACCCGACACCCTTCGCCATGGTCAGCACCCGCTCGTCCTCGCGCGCCGACAGCGCCGGCCCCGAGCCCACGCCCACGTCCACGTCCACGCCGTCAACACCAACGCCGGCCACGCGCAAGCGCAAGCCGGCCACCTCGGCGCCCTCGACCACGACGCGCCGCCGCGCCCACCGCGCCTCCGCCTTCGAGCACACCCCGACCTTCTGGACCCTGCTCTGGATGGCCGTCTCCCTCCCCCTCGTCATCTGGGACACGGGCTACGTCCTCGGCCGCCCGCACACCATGGAAGGCGGCGCCGCCCACTGGCCCCTCTGGCTGCCGTACAAGCTGTACGGCGAAGTCGACCACATCTACGGGTGGAAGGCGTTCCACGCCAACAACGGCTTCACCGCCGCCCAGGGCCTCCTCAACGTCGTCGAGACCCTCATGTACGCCGTGTACCTGTGGCTGTGGTACTCGCGCGGCGAGGCCACCGCCCACGGGAGGGTGGTGACGGGCCGGCCGGGCGCGCTGGCCGTCCTCATCGGCTTCAGCTCCGCCGTCATGACGCTGAGCAAGACGTTCCTCTACTGTAAGTGGCAATTGATGAATGCGGGACCCGCGGCGCAGACTGACGGCTGGGGTGCTAAATACCGGAGCCAGGGTCCAACGAGTACTTCTCTGGCTTTGACAACATTGGCCACAACAACCCCGTTGATCTCGTCTTCCTCTGGATCATACCCAAGTATGCGCTGTTTTTCTTCCCTTGACTTGACTTGAACCTACATACCTGGCTAACATGGCCGCAGTGGCGCGTGGCTCATTGGCTCAGCGTACATGGCCTGGTCTATTGGCGCTGAAATCCTCGATGGCTTGGAAGCTGCTTCGCACGTGAAGAAGGAGTGATTCTGCTGTACTCTGATGTGAATAGGCGCACCGCCAGCTTTACTTGATTCAAACAGCGCGAAGGGCACACTTGCGCAACTATATTCGGCAGCAACTGTGCAGTCACGGGCTAGGGAGGGCCGAGAGGACCAGGAATGGGAACATGAACCACATGGTACCAAACAGCGGCCGTCTGTTGACGAGACCGGCCTGCAGAAAGGAGAGGGCACAGCATTGGGTGGGAAAACATGTCTTTATGCGTTACGGAATACCCCGTTTGTTAGGAATTAGAATTGTTTGCTACATGACCCTTGTGCCTGCGTCCAGATCTATAAAAAACATGCTCACAACCACGATGGTCGAGGTTCGTCCTGAAACATAAAAAGCTCAAGTAAAGAAAGAAAAAAAGGATCAAGCCATGTCATTGTTAACGCTGGGGTGGGTATGTGCATGTATGCGTCTTGCGCTGCTGTATGCCCGCACACTGGGTATCAGATGTTGAAGAAGAGCGCTCAGCGTGAGCGAAAGACGAGAACAAAGATGCCTGGAAATGCTTGTGTAAACAAAAAAGAAGAGGGTGGGCAAGACTTGAAAAATATTGCCAATGAATGTTGTCCTTTTTTCTTCAGCCTGCCGTTCTAACGGATCAAATCTCCTCTTGGTGGGAATCCTCACCGAACCTCTGTTAGTCCCCCCAGATCGGCATACTGCTCCCATGCATGCGCCGCGTCTGCGTCCACCCCCTTCCCGTCCAGAAACGCCTGCATGGCCGTCCAGTCGCCCGAGTCTCTGGGCAAGAGGCACGTCTCCTCGGCAATGTCGTCCTCGCGAATGGGCAGCGCAATCGAGCGGCTGTGCGCGATGGAGCTGCTGCGCTTCGGGTCGGCGCCGCTCTGGCGACTGTTGGCAAAGATGCTGCGGCGTTCATTGTCGACAAAGTGCCCAAAGGCTTTGGCGGCATGCGTGTAGCCTTCCAAGGCGGAGCTGATGGGCCGCCGCCTGAGCGAGTTGGATTTTGACACTGGCGGGCTGTTGCTGCCGTATGGGACGGCGGCGTCGTGGGTGCTCCATCGCCGGGTTTTGGGTAGTAGTATTTCGATTGGTGAGTCGGGGGGGACTGGAGAGCCGAGCGACGATTCTGCCGTGTCCACCATGCTCGCCGAGCTGGGCACGGTGCTGGCGTTGCTGGAGGCTGTTTCCGATTCCGACGCCGTGGACGCGCTCCGGCCGACATCAGAGGGCGGCAGCGGGGGGGCCGCGCGGGATCCCAGGCGCACGTCGTTTGTTCCATTGCCGTAGCCGTGGACCACGATTTCGTGATACAGAGGCTTGCTCGCCGTGACGGGGGACGGGGGGAAAGAGGGGGGCGCGGCACTCTGCGTCAATCTTCGCACCGACTTGCGAATCGTGGAGCTGCGATTCAATACCTGCTTGAACGAGCTCGCTCGCGACAGGGCGCTTGGATTATCCGTAGCTAGAGGCGGGAGAGACGCTCGCCTCGACCTTGGTGGAGGGGGAGCATCTTGCTTGTGAGTCAATGCGAAATAATCAATGTCTGGCTTGATTTCAAACCTTTCCATGGCAGTGGCCAGGTCCGCGTCGTGCAGCCTCCCAAGGCGGTTCAGTGCCGGCTCAGTCTGGCTGCGAATCAGTCCTCCACGGGCGTTTTTGTCCTGCCACGGGGGCAAGGTGTCCTTGGCAATCGTCACCAGATATCGAGCGCTGGGGTCATCCTGCACGCCATGGGGTCTCTGTGTAGCGTAACGCAGCGTCTGGTGAACGGCATATATCAAGATCCATCGGACCTTGCGTCCGTCGACCAGTGAAACCCTCTCCCTCCTGTCCCGCCTTTTGCGCTCTAGTGCGCAGTCCTCTTCGAACTGCCTGTACGCCCGAACGAGGCTGTTGTCGAGCACGTCTTGCTCCCAGTTCGACGCGTTAACAAGCGCGGCGTGTCCCAGTTGGCGCTCATCTGCGCGTTGTTTCGGACCCCGTGGTAGCCACGCCAAGCGTCTCGGGCGAGGCCGCGGATCCAGCTGCGGGAGCTTGGGGAGCGGGTGCTTCATGGGCTCGAGGTGGCTATGCGTGTCCAAGGATTGGATGAGCTGCAGGGTGCAGATGCCGCCCACGGCAACGGACGGCATGGCTTCAGACGAGCTGTATGCCTCGTCGACCAAGAGGCGGTACAGAGCTTTGAAATCCCCAGCCATAGCACGGTATACCGCCGCATCAAACGAGCTTGGTGGATAGTAGCCCAGCCTCACGCTGTAGAAAGAAAGCAAAAAGCTCCTGAAACGTTCCAGGTGAGCACGAAGACCGAGCGGGATGCCGAGGTGCGCCTCGGAAAGCTCTTGGTCGAGGAAGTTTTCCAGCATCGCTGACGTCCTGTTGAACCGAGATTTCAACTCATTCTCGCTCTCGTGAATCAGATTGCGAGTGGCCGGGCTGGTGTGCTACAATATCATGTCAGTCAACACTGACATTGCAGGCGTCCCATGACAGCCAGGGAAATATAGAGGGCCAACTTACTTTGAACTCACGCCTGCAGAGGAGCATGTCCCGCATTCCCACACAATGTGCCAGGGCTTGAAGATACAAGTCCTTCATACGAAACGTCTCGGCCAGTTGCAACACGGCCAACGCATGAGCCGGCTGGCCAGCCAAGCAAAGATAGCCCTTTTCGTCGAGATACCCCATAATGTCTGCCGCATTATCCACTTTCCCGCCAGATCGATATTCGTGCATGCAGTTCAGCAGGCCAATCATTGCCTCCCCGAGAGTCTCTCCAACAAGAGGGCGCCGGAGAACCCATGCAAAAAAGTTCCTCATCAGCAACTGGTGGCGTTCGACTTTCTTCTTATCCGCGTGGAGTGGCGCCGGTATGAAAAGCTCAACCGTTCGTTTCGGATTTGAACGGTGCCATTTGTTTATCTCGCCTGGGGTGCGGGGAGTTCTCACCCCGCGCTCGCCAGGGTTGTTGATGACCAAGAATCGCTTTATCAAGGGATAGCATCTTGTCATGAGGAGGAAAGAAAACGGCAATTTGAAAACCGGTGCTTTCGTTGCATCCTTTCCTTTGGTGGCCTCGCTGCTGTGGAGATAAACCAGACAGTTGCCGTTGCTGATCCAGAGCTCACGATCCTGTTGTAGCACATGGTCAGCAGAGCTCATTTAGTCAACACAGCAAGGCCGAAGGAATAATAATAATGAAAAATTAAAGAAGAAGGACAGAGTAAAGATACAAAGATAACCATACCTTTTGCAGTCCATCCCAAGCTGTACAGAGGCACTTTGCCCCATCCCATCTCCTCAGTTTAGGGCACGGTGTGAAAGCCGTCGGGTTCGTGACTTGACCATGAGAGCTATGTCCTACTCGACTGTAGCGACTGGTCAGTTTTGAAGCAGCGGCTGCCGTCGCTCGCGGTGGTGAAGGCATGATACTTCAGGTCTTGAATCGCTTGGTCAAACAATGAATAACGTGTGAGGACTGAATGAATCAAGACGGCAGCTATTCGGAGCAAAATCCGAATCGCAGTCGGGAAACGCTTAATGGGCAAATTGGACCATAGAAGTTCGCCAACGCGCCGCCATTGTAAAATGAGCAGCAGTTTGACAGTCCCCCAACGTCTGCTCTGCAATTGACTTGATTGCAGAGTCTTTCCAACTCAATAGGACGATTCTCGCCAACCTTCACCCACAAGACAAACCGTGGGCAGGGCTGAGGAATACAAGAAAGAAGGAAAAGAAGCTGCGGTCCGAGAACACACAAAATCTTCGTGATGAAACTTGACCCCCCCACGGCGGGACAGCAACTAGACCAGGTTATCAGGGAGACTTGTGTCATATTCGAGCTGGACAAGAACGTGGTCCCAATTAAGCCCACCACTGCTTAGTGCACATGGGTCGCCGGAATTCGACGTCCTGTCGTGAACATGGTCCATCACGATGCCCATGTCCGGCCCATGCACATCTTTAATGTACCGGCCCACAGTATCTTGGCGGCAAATGAGCCACAGATACGGCGACACTGGTCCTGGTACGGGGTGGGATAGAAGTACTCCGTAGTAGTAGATGTCAAGAGTTGGTGGGCAAAATAACCTCGTGCTTCTGCCTCGGTAGCAAAAGCAATTGTAGACTCGCAACTTGGTGATTCCAAACACCTTCGGCCTTCTTTGTTTCTGCCCCGTGCGAGAGCCCAAGACACCCATTGCCTCAGCATCAATACCTACACACTCTACTCCGTGCAAAGGTACTTCATCCTCCAAGAGGCTGGTCCACACACAAGGTACGATTGCAGGGGTGAGCTATGATGAACTGTTTGGCGCTAATCAATAACCTGCTCACCAATCTCTACGCCGTAGCATGGTGGCGACTTGTGCGGAATTGATTGGCAACAATGGTAGCGCAATACCGGCATGGACGGACGCAAGACAGACGGTGTGCGTCGTGTATTTCGTCATGGCCGTGTCACCGCAGCCGCTCAGGCTCCAACATAGTCATTCTCCCAGCTTCAAGGGCCGTGTCCCGTCTTCGGCATAATGAAGAAACTGGTTTATCTGCTGCAAGAGCTTGTCGAGACGGATTTGAGACGTGAGAGGACAGAAGCGGCCTCGGGCCTCTCACCACGAGCTATTTTTAAGGTTCAACGTGAGTGAGACGATTTGTCTCCCAGCCTCGCGCAAGCTTGCCGATCAAGCGCACACCAGAAACCACACCGTTGACCCAAAGCCAAACGGGAGGCTGAAAGCAGCCACTCGTGGCGCCAGTCTTCATTTCCCATTACTACACCATGCGTTATTAGCGGTATGCATCCGTAATAGCGCAGAACTCAATAGAAACACCATCGCCTTGTTTCATGATTTCATTTCGGGCCATTTTCTTGCAGAGACTTGTATCCTCATTCAAGAGCTGGGTGGTGATGTCTCTTTCATTACTGTCTCCCAGATGCGAGGCATGACTAGGTTCTTCGTCCGTTCCCGGTCATAGCTAGATTGCCAGGCAAAATCGGGTCTGGTCGCCGA